TGACCCCTCCGCGTCACAGGCCACTGGCCAGCCTGTGACCCCTCCCTGCCACAGGCCACTGGCCAGCCTGTGACCCCTCCCCGTCACAGGCCACTGGCCAGCCTGTGACCCCTCACTCTCACAGGCCACTGGCCAGCCTGTGACCCCTCCCTGCCACAGGCCACTGGCCAGCCTGTGACCCCCTCACTCTCACAGGCCACTGGCCAGCCTGTGACCCCTCCCTGCCACAGGCCACTGGCCAGCCTGTGACCCCTCCCTGTCACAGGCCTCTGATCAGCCTGTGTGCCGCCTCACTCACAGGTCGGCGAAGCTGGCCAGGCCGGGCACCTCTGCTGTGAGGTCGAGTCGCGCCGGCTGGCGCAGCACGTGACCCAGCGCCAGCCGGAGGGCGCGCTGCACGGCCTCGTCCAGGAAGAGGTCGTCCCCTGGCGGCCGGTCGGACCGGTTACGGGCTGGCGCCGAGCGGGCTCAGGCCGGCGATCACCAGGCGCCGGCTTACCATACCGCTCTGACCAACAGGTGCAGCCGCGGCCGCTACACCTGCGGTGTTAAGCAGTAAGACAACATGATAGCGAGCAAGGGAAACATTTTAACATTGGAGAATTACGGTCTGTGCTCTGCTTGTTTCGCGGCGATACATATAAAACATCCTCAAAAAAACACTGCGTTTTGGACCCCCAAAGCACCTGAAAACTCCCGCCGTGTGTAGGCTCTCCTTTCTAGAGCAGCGGTGCCGCGCCATGACAGACCACGAGACATCGAATCCTGTCGTCATCCTGTCTCCTCTATAGAGCAGCGTGGCCGCGCCATGACAAGATCACGAGACATCGAATCCTGTCGTCATCCTGTCTCCTCTCTAGAGCAGCGTGCCGCGCCATGACAGATCAAGAGACATCGAATCCTGTCGTCATCCTGTCTCCTCTACAGAGTAGCGTGCCGCGCCATGACAGATCAAGAGACATCGAATCCTGTCGTCATCCTGTCTCCTTTATAGAGCAGCGTGCCGCGCCATGACAGATCAAGAGACATCGAATCCTGTCGTCATCCTGTCTCCTCTATAGAGTAGCGTGCTGAGCCATGACAGATCAAGAGACATCGAATCCTGTCGTCATCCCGTCTCCTCTATAGAGCAGTGTGCCGCGCCATGACAGATCAAGAGACATCGAATCCTGTCGTCATCCCGTCTCCTCTCTAGAGCAGCGTGCCGCGCCATGACAGATCACGAGACATCGAATCCTGTCGTCATCCTGCCTCTTCTATAGAGCAGCGTGCTGCGCCATGACAGATCAAGAGACATCGAATCCTGTCGTCATCCTGTCTCCTCTATAGAGCAGCGTGCTGCGCCATGACAGATCAAGAGACATCGAATCCTGTCGTCATCCTGTCTCCTTTATAGAGCAGCGTGCCGCGCCATGACAGATCAAGAGACATCGAATCCTGTCGTCATCCTGTCTCCTTTATAGAGCAGCGTGCCGCGCCATGACAGATCAAGAGACATCGAATCCTGTCGTCATCCTGTCTCCTCTATAGAGCAGCGTGGCGCGCCATGACAGATCACGAGACATCGAATCCTGTCGTCATCCTGTCTCCTCTGTAGAGCAGCGTGCCGCGCCATGACAGATCATGAGACATCGAATCCTGTCGTCATCCTGTCTCCTCTATAGAGCAGCGTGCCGCGCCATGACAGATCACGAGACATCGAATCCTGTCGTCATCCTGTCTCCTCTATAGAGTAGCGTGCCGCGCCATGACAGATCACGAGACATCGAATCCTGATGTTATCCTGTCTCCTCTGTAGAGCAGCGTGCCGCGCCATGACAGATCACGAGATATCGAATCCTGATGTCGTCCTGTCTCCGAGCTACGAACACCACGTGGGTGCCGCCCTTGCGAAGCGACTGAGGGAACGGCAGTGTATGTATTGATGCATAGGAAGCGGAGCAGTGGAAAGCTGTGACCCGGTCATGTGCATATGCAGATATGACACAAGTAAGATGCGGCAAACACGATTGTTACCTCGTTCACGCCAGTGGCCGACCGTTCGCAACTGCTTCAGTATACCGGAGTCAGCAACTGTGTTTCATTGTAACACGCCCGTACATTGTAAGCACCAAATATATTTGAATATCTGAATTTGAATGTCAAGTGTAGGTGTATGTACGCATGTATGTAATATATATATATATATATATATATATATATATATATATATATGCGCGTGCGTGTGCGTGTGCGTGTGTATGTGTGTACATATGAACATATGAAAAATGAATGAGTATAAGATATGAATTGGTTTTGTCTGGTTTATTCTGAACCAAACGACACGTTTGCGAACACCTGAATTTCTAGTGATGCAAGAACTTCGGGACAAAAGATGCCGTTCAGTTTCATATGCGCCTGTCGTTGTGACCTACGCTACGCTTAAAACAGCTATTGTTCATTATTGCACACAACTACGATATATCTGGCCTTTAGAGTCCCAGTCGCACCAGACAACAGTGCAGACAGCTTCCCGCTAACGACCAGCAGCTGCGAGCGGCTGGAGACTGGCCGCCGACAGCTGGCGGCGGCCGGCCGGCCGCAGACCGCGCACGCTACCTGCCAGGAAGACGCAGCACAGCCGGGCGAAGTGCGACGTCACTGAGACGGCGTCCAGCAGGCGCGGGTGGAGCGCGGCCAGCAGGTGGAGCAGGTGCAGACAACGCGTGACCACCTGAGCCGGCTCCACGCCGCGCAGGCCGGCCGGCTCCAGCCCGGTGGGCCTCTCCTCACTGCCGTCAGCCGCCATGGCAGCGCGTAAGGCGTGGTAGTCCGGTGGTCAGGACAGGGAACGGCCATGGCAGCGCGTAAGGCGTGGCAGTCCGGTGGTCAGGACAGGGAACGACGCCATGGCAGCGCGTAAGACGTGGTAGTCCGGTGGTCAGAGCAGGGAACGACACCATGGCACGTGATACAAACGTACAAGCACTGCCAGACGCATTCCACTATGCTCCACGCGCAAGTTATTTGGATAGACAAAGCATTTGAAAATCGAAAGAGCAGTCAGTTTGGCACGCCTAGGCAAATGGCCTCGTTCAAACAGTTTTTGCAGGGCTCTGTCATAGTTGCTTACCTTTTCTTATTACCGATGCTATCTCTGTCAAATAAAGATAACTAGCGACAGCCAGGAGCCATCGGAAGATTTCACAAGGTCGGCCGGCGCCACCATCGCAGCCCGCCAGTGGGCCTGGTGCCCCTGCAGTGCGTCTCCTTGACCGCATGAGCCGGCGCCACAGGCGGTTCGGCGCCGGCGCCGGCGACACTCACGCGTTGTGCCGCTCGTAGAGCTGCACCAGCGGCGCGTACCACCAGTCGAGAGGCACCAGCGTGGAGCCAGCGTCAGGCACCGCCAGCGCCGCCACGCGGCCGGCCAGCGAGTCGGCGCGGTCGCGCGCGGCGGCGGTCGCCGCCGGCGGTAACAGGCAGCGCTCGTACAGGCCGCAGGCGGAGACCAGCTGCGCCAGCGCCGGCTCCAGGGCGCCGCCGGCCGGCGCCGTTTCCCTGCCGGTCATCGGAGCCGTCACGGGGGTCGGCCGACGGCGGCTGACGCCGGAGGATTATCAGAACATTGGGCCACGTTAGAGGCCGGCGCCGGCTCTTGATCCCAAACAACGGGGGAAGTCGACTCACTGCCAGCCGTCAATGTCTCGACACCTACCTCACCACCCACTGCTGAACATTGCTTCACTACGCTTCCTTGTACGCTTCCTTCACACTTGTAAATGACACATTAAATGACAAGCAATACCTTCACCAATTCAGCGGCATACGGTATGCCCCAGAGGCCATCTTTCTATCAGCATCCATTCACTTATGCATATAATGTACGCCGAAGTATTCAGTAGCATGCGCGGTGGCCTCGGCCACGTGGGCAGCAGTGGTGCTGCGCCGCTCGTCCGTGCCCGTCTCACGTGGCCAGACTCCTGCTGAAGAGCACGTGGCGCATGAGCTCGACGCAGAGGTGCTCATCGCCCGTCTGGTAGCAGTGCAGCAGGCGGAGGCCGACCTCGTGGCATGTCCGCGCGGCGGGGCTCCCCTGCGGCGGGAGGGCACGCGTCAGTGGCGGCGGCGGCGGCGGCGGCGGCGGCGCGGGGGCCAGCCCGGCACGCCGGCGGCGGACGCAGCTGTGCGGCGCATCTGCACATTAGCTGCCAATGCCAACAGCGCGATCCCAGGCCGGTTGTCGAGTCACGAGCGTGAGTCGACACAGCCCACAGCGGACGGGTTCGCGTGACTGGAGCAGAGATGGTGACGCGGCGAGGGCGGGACAAATGGTGACGGGACAGGCGCGAAAGGAAGGAATATGAACGGCAAGAAACGTCGGGCACATAAACAGCGGCGACAATGCTATCTGACATGCTGACTGAGGTTGGCGTTCGTTGTTGGAAACCTCGCAGTATTTCTACGCGGGGGGAGGGGAAGGGGCGAAGTGAGCGAAAGAACCCATCTTCCCACCAGGTTTCCTGGCTGAGGCTTCTGAATGGACCTAATGAGATGGAGTACTAAAATTTGTGTTGTTACATCAAACTTTGAACGTGCACCTGTCAAATTTTAAAGGGCCTGCAGCAGTCTCCGGCGAATTCAGGCGCAGTCAACAAAGACATGGTTGAGGAAGTTGATGCATTATCGCAAGTTGGTAGTGAAGTGAAATAGTCGAACATCAGGCGTCTGGAACAGGGGAAGTCTCCTTTCTTAGCAGGAATGTCTTCAGGTGATGAATGGTAACAACTGCCAACAGCGTCACAATAAGGAGCGTCGATCCAGAAGACAACCACTGCCTTAGTTGCATCGCTTGGTACCGAAAGCGTTTAAACAATGACCGTCTGTCGACTTAACTGGCACGCCTTGAACGCTTCGAAACTGAGCTTAGCGACGTTTGCGCTCATTTTATTCATCGAAATACCACATGTTATTTTGAGAATTTCGGATGACAAATCTGAGCCAACATTCTGCGCCTCGGGTACGAAGCAGCGTGGTGAGCAGTGGCTTTAGCTCAGCT